ACACAAGCATTTCTGACCCCTGCTGATCATCTGAACATGAAATATGAATATGGGCTAAATCACAGTCAGGGAGAAAACTCCATGAACTCATTTGCCCTCTGGCCCTGGCACCCAAACACAGAAGGACCCCTAAAATGAATGCTGGGTGCCCCAAGACAGCTACCACCCACTTCCTAGCTACTACACAATTTCCTATGTTCTTAGAGTCCTAAGAGTCAGCCTGTGGTACTAGGTCTGGAAGTAGGCATGCCTCAGTCACGTAGGGATGCCCCCACCCCCCACACCCACACCCATCCCCACCCCTGCTTTCTGCAAGCCTCTGATCAGCACAGGAGGCCCTCATCTTGACATGATGCTAAAGTGAGTGACCTCTGAGGTCTCATGGTGAAGGGAACAATTACATAACCAGACCTAGCCATGCCAAAACGAACAAACACATAAGGAGCTGGGCCAGCCGCCTGGAATGCAGGGAAGCAGGGAGGCAGAGACACATCACAGAGTGGGCCCAGCATCCACCTCAGAGGACAAATATATTTTTAGGAAACTGTCCAGCGTATCCCATCACATTCTTTTTGCAGTCTCCCAAAGCTTTATCCTAAGATAAAACGTTCATTGCAAGATTGCGATCTATCTCTGTCTTAGGTGGTGCAAGTCCATGATTTTAGATGGTCCAGGTTCTGCTATGAGATGCATTTCTCATCATTTACTGTAGCAAAGGGAGGCTATGAGATGCATTTCTCATCATTTACTCTAGCAAAGGGAGGCTATAAAACAGTAACATGGGCAGGCTTCACACTCACTCCAAGGCACCTAGAATTGAACTTCCTGTTGCCAGGTTCTGGGAAAGCTGTGCTCTGGCTCCCACATTGACAGATGAACTGAATCTTTCATTCGTTCACTTATTTTCTGTGCTGCTACAGATTGTCACTGTGCTCAGGTGCTGGGAAAATGAGGAGAAAAATTTACCTTTCAGGACAAATGATAGTTTGGGTATTTTTTTACTCTAGGAGAGGTACTGTCTGCAAGCTGGCAAATCACTTCCCTAGTTCATGGAAAACAGTTCAGGCTAGTTATGCCATTTTGTGGCAGCATGTCACCAACAGACATTGAACCGCAGCGGCTTTTGTCTCAAGAAGGGCTGGATGGGTTCACAGTTAAACCTAGCGTCTCTTACTATGAGGCTCAAGGCTCTAACATACTCTCCTTTAAGGAGTGGAGGTGGTGTGTGCCTGCCTTCCAGCCTGGAAATCAGTGGCTGTGTGGACAGCAGCACTTTGTGAACTGCCTGTGAAGGACAGCCCCGTCTTCAACTGAAGAGAGCTTAAGCTTCCTGACTGCTAAGGTTCAAAACGGCCACAGACATTCCACCATGCTTAATTCCTGTTGGGTGGTATTCTTAATGTGGCTATTGGTCTTTATACATATGTACACACACACACACACACACACACACACACACACACACACACACACACGCACGCACGCGCACACACACACACACACACACACACACACATGTATGTATGCATAATCAATGACTTTTGACAAAATTGACATCTTAACAAGCTACAATTTGGTACATATTACCTACTCTGAATATAACCTAGAAATGTTCTAGAAGGCAATGCTAGAGAATGTTGCCAAATGTGTTCCTATAAGTAACATATTCTAAGGATTTCATTGTCTGCGGCTGGAGAAAATGGGGTCAGAGCAAACGAATAACTTTCTGTGGATCGTGTAGGATGCTTTGGTAGGGCCTAGACTTGACTCCTATCTGTTTTTAGGAAATTGGCAAAGCTTGCCTCTCTTGGTCCGACTCTTTCACTTTCTGACTGCACAGTTTTTCATGACATTTAGTGATGGTACCAATGGCCGACATGCCAAGGGCCTTGCTCTTTCTCGTAACCCGTGCTTGCCTTTATTAGTGCTGGCAGTATGGACCACCACATTAGGATGTCAGCCGGCTGCTTGTCACTGGACCCGTCTAGGAGATGGTGTTGTGTTGGGTGGTAGTTGTCATGGCGATGACGTTCATGTGACGCTTTGATTGTTTCTGAGTTTCACTGTTCATTTTAATTACGTCGGTTTCTGTGGATGGTTTCAGCACAACCCTTTGATTGGAATCCAATGAGCAAACAAACAGATCTCTGTGTTTTCCTGTGGACACCTGGATCTGCATCTTGAACAGAATATTTACTAATCAACTGAAGTTAAGCTGATTGCTCAACTCCTTCAAGGTTTCTTATCCATGAAGAATATGAATATCATATTCCCAATGGCTGCAAATTAGCAATGCAAAACAACAGAACATATTCTCTCTTATGTTCTGGAGGCCAGAAATCTGAAATCCAGAGGGAACGTTCCTTGGGAGCATTGGGAGAGGATCCAATTCTTGCACCCCATATTCCTGAGCCCAAAGCCTTATTACTCTAAACTCCGCCTCCAGCTTTATATGACATTTTTCTTTGTCTTCCTGTGTTATAAGGGTATTTACAAAATGGATATTTTAAAAAGCTTTCAACCATGTATCTCTAATGTGATGAGTGTTTTCTCCTTGTCCCTCCCTCTCATTTCTCTTCCCTGCCACAGTCCTGCTGGATGGGTGGCCTTCTGTACGTTTATGTCACCTGTATATACATGATTTTATACATCAATATAAAATCTAGGAACTACAGCAACAGAAAGCATAGAATGTTTGTCTTTCTGGACTAGCCTAATTCACTTACGATTATCTGTAGTTGCATCCATTTTCCTGAAACAACCTAACTTCATTCTTCTTTATGCCAGGGAAAGTTTTGCTGTGTACACATGCCACTTTTTCCTTGTCTGTCCCTCTGTTGCTGGTCACTTAGGTTGGTTCTATGACTCGGTTCCTGCGAATCCCATTGCAATAACAGTGACATGAAGTATCTCTGGGATAGGTTGATTTCTAGTCCTTCAGATAAACTACCCAGGAGTGGCAGAGCTGGGTCATACGGTGGATTGACGTTGAGTTTGTTGAGGAACCCCCAGATTGACTTCCATGGTGGCTGGACCAGTTGACAGTCCCAGCAGCAGGGTGGGAGGGCTCCCTTTTGTCCACACCCTTCAGTACCTGCTGTTACTGTTTTAATGACTGTCGTTCTGACTGGGGTAAGATGGAATCTCTATGTAGATTTGATTTAGAATTCTCTGATAGCTAGCGAAACTGAGTATTTTTCCATATTGTTTATTGACCATTTGTGCTTCATCTTTTGAGAACTGTCTGTTCTTTCCCCCAACCCATTGGTCAATTAGGAAAATCTTTTGTTGTATGTAGCATCCATCTAGATAAGCCAGGATCATTGTTTTGCTTCGAGACCCCTAATTTAATTATACTTCCAAACACGTTTTCAAGTAAGGAGGTAGAATTGGATGTGGACATTGTTTCCCAGTGGCCTCCATTCAACCCACTGCAGGTTTCACGAGTAGGAATGTTGGGGAGCTGAGTTAATGGCTGCCACACTAACAGGGCTCAACAAATGCCAGCATTCTCCCACGCAGGAATTGAGGGGAAGATCTAATTGTCTTCTTTAAAAAACTGAGCTTCAACCTGGGAAACTTGGCTTATGCAGAGCCTCAAAGAGCTGCCGTTGATTGTGACCCTGCTGTGAGCTGACAACATGCACACTTTGCCTGAATTCATCCTCCCAGCTGTAAAACTGGAGGCTAGAGCTCCGTCCTGGTGGGGCACACAGTCTGCTCCAAGCAGAGCTGGTGTTAATTGCAGGATGTCCCAAATGCTCTCTGCATACACCATGCTGTCTCTCCCACTTAAGGAAGTAACTAGCTGAACAGACATAATGATCATCTCATTCAGGCTCCTTGAGAAGTATTCCCAGTTAAAAGCAAGCAAGGAGAGAGCATGGCCAGCCTTGTCATTCTTATTTCTAGACTAACCAATCTCAGACAAGGAAAAGATCCACGCTTTCTCTTGAGAAGCGTGTATATTTTCCCATGTCTCCAAAGCCATTTTGTGTGCAGTGAGTGTGGTTAGACTATTAATCAAATTCTTAATAGAAAAGTTTTCTGGAAGAGAGCACACCATGAATTATGGAATATTTGCCTTTGCTTGCCTCATCTTTAAAACGTGGAGTGCCACGATTATATATCTCCTGCATGAACACTAGGCTTTTCAGAAGAGCACTCTGTTGAGATTTATTGAAGTGTTAGAGCCCGTTCTAATGAAAAGGTACACTGCAGAATCTTCAGCTCACTGAATTGAGTTCCTGGGGGGAAACATTCATATGTCTGTGGGTTCCAGGTTTGGAGTAATTTTCACACTGAGTGAGATTTTTTTTCAGTATTAGTTCACCTTTTGAATGTTCTGTGGGGCCACCATAGGTGTAAGGCCACCATTGGCAGGATCAGAAAGCAGAGCAGCCATGACCTTGAAGCCAATATACCTGTGGTCCTCTTGAACTCAGTTAGGGATCACTGCCTCTTAAATGAGGCAGGAGCCATTTTGCTTAGCTCTAAATCGGTGCACACAATTTTGAATGATTCTCTGTGGGCCTAAGCATTGAACTGCTACTAGGAACACTGATTGGCCAGGGGGAGCCTACACTGAGAAAGGGACAAGTATTATGTGGGCTCCATGGAAACCAGGAGACACTTGAAAGAGGCATAATGTGGTCCTTCAAAATGCAAGTCCGTGCACCTGGAGATAATACATCAGTGTTTCTCAACCTGTGGGTCATGACCCCCTTGATGGTTGCCTATCAGCTATCCTACATACCAGATGTTTGCATTACAATTCATAGCAGTAGCAAAATTACTATTCTGAAGTAGCAACAAAAATATATTTTTTTTTAGACAGGGTTTCCCTGTGTAGCTTTGCGCCTTTCCTGGTACTCGCTTTGTAGCCCAGGCTGGCCTCGAACTCACAGAGATCCGCCTACCTCTGCCTCCCGAGTGCTGGGATTAAAGGCGTGCACCACCACTGCTGGCTTAACAAAAATAATTTTATGGTTGGGGGTCGCCACACCATGACCTGCATTACAGTGTGGCAGCATTAGGAAGGTTGAGAACCACTGCTTTAGTTGGTGACATATCATGATGAATGAACTGCTAAGATTGACACACACACACACACACACACACACACACACACACACACACACACACACACACGCCAAAGGCCTACTGAATGTCTATGACGATGGACTGATGCCATTCAGGAGTGCGGCCCTCTGTTCCTAAGTGAACAGTATTACATGCATTTAGGAGCTATATATAAAAGCTTTAGATTTCAAAAATACTCAAATATATTTGATTTACTCATTAAAAATGCTTTAGCTTCAAGCAAGCTTAAAAAAAAAACAGGCTTTAGAAGTTTCTTAGATGAAATGACTTCTCCAGATGAGGGGTAAGACCTTCCTTCTCTAAATGATGGTCTGCTGCTCATTATAATTCTAGGAAGATGAGCATTGTACAGTTTGAGGAGTCCCAAGTAACCCCAGGAGAAAATGTGAATTCTCAATCAGCATCAATTAGAAAACCATGTATGTTTTCATTGCCCATGAGGTCAGTGCTAACACAGAGGCTGGCGTTCCTGCAGAGTCAATGTCTTGCTTGAACTTTGTACCCTGACCAGTTTGGCGCTCCCTGGTTCCATCTTGATGGCTCCTCAAAGGTTCTCCTGACGTTGCAGCAGGTTGGACTCCAGTTTTTCTGCCTGTTGGCTGTGTGTTTACTTCCCCCAGATCACAGCCATAGCTCCATATTAAGGAGAGCTAGGATGGCCTGTGTTGCTCCGAGGTTCTGTGTTCACTGACTTGAGAAACTGGGATTCAAGACTCCAAAGAGTAGATATTAATGACTTCATTTTTACACTTAGAGCGTTTAGGAAACTGGCTAGTTGAGACTCAACTAATGGAAGTCAGAGACCGTGTTTGAACTACAGTTATGTGGATCCAGAGTCACTTTCCTCCATGTTCACGAGTGGTGTCACTGTCCACCAGATGGGAACATTTTTCTGTGCAGACACCACATTTGCTTTGTGTGTGTGTGTGTGTGTGTGTGTGTGTGTGTGTGTGTGTGTGTGTGTGTGTGTTCATTATTTTCATCAGGACCTAGGCTACATTAATCATGTTCTGGAAATTTCTTTAGTGTCATGAAAAGTTCGTTCTCAAATAAGTGGGTCCTGGAAGGAGCTGGACATAGACAGACATGGCTGCCCCTAATACATACTCAATGAAGAAAGAGGTGAACACTGATACACATATACCCACACAAACACACATGCAAAATACACATAAGTCTAAATGTATGCACACTTACCTCATTAAGGAAACTCCTCCCAGCTTGATGAAATGGATACAGAGTCCCTGGTGCCTAGTCAGAAGACCGGTAGTATCTCAATGATAAGCCCTCTGACATGTCCAACCTGCAAGAACACCAAAATTGCTATAGGAAGGAGGCTGATGTTTCACACCCTTACACCCTGGAGGCCTGCACTTCTCAGGTACAGCAGTCAACTGGCCCAAAAAGCTAGTGCATGAAGACTCCAGACAGAGAGGACTGTATCTATTTGCATTTAAGGTTGCCCACACTGTTGCCTCCAGCAATAGCAAGAACAAGCTTATTTGCTATTGGTTAGTCTCTCAGGATTGCCTTAAATGATAATACACAAGGCGTTCTAAAACAGGAGATGCCTGTTCTCTTACAACACTGGAAGCCAAATGTCAGGAATTTAGGCTTAGGAGGGATACTTCGTCCTTTCTCTCTTTCATGGTCTTGTCACACTGCCTCTTCTTCTGTCTCCTCATCTCTGGTCATCTTCTCAGGATGCATGCAACTGTGCTGAGGCCCACATGACAAATGCTCAGCATCCAAAACCAAAAATTATGCAAGGAGAAAGACTTTTCTCAGCCAAAAGTCACACCCTTAAGTTTGGGGCTTTAGGTTTTGGACATAACCTGTTGGGTGTCACCATCAACCCTGGAACAGTTTGTTCACCTTCATGAATCTCCTTGAGAAGACATGTGCAGAAGCAAACCCCTAGGGTTTAGGGTTAAAGTAGTTGTACTCAGGAGTCTGAATTTAGTCTAGATTCCCTAAGTGATTCAAATGGGACAGACAGGCAAAGCCCAGCCTCCAGCTTATTCCAGGACTTCAGTGACTAAGGACATCTTCACGATGGTCTTCCTGAAACACAAATCAGAACATGACACATCTCAGAGTAAACAAGCCCTGAGTGCTGTCCTGGATCTCTCTCTGTAGACCAGGCTGGCCTCGAACCCACAGAGATCTGCCTGGCTCTGCCTCCCGAGTGCTGGGATTTAAGGCGTGAGCTACCACCACCGCCCGGCTCACAAATGCTTCTCTTGTTTCACATTCTTTGTACAGACCCCTCCCTCCATTTCGAGTGCTCCTTCTTACCCTCCTTTATTTGAAATTCTGTATTTTTTTGGATTACTGCTTCTCCTTGAACCAGGGCTCAATTTGATGGACTGACTCGCTCAACATCAGCCTTCTACCCAGAGGATGGAGCGTGATGGCGTGGTTGCTTTCTTGTCCCCTACTAGACTGTGAGTTCATTGAGACTAGAGCTCACACCTTTCTTCTTCATCGCTTGTAGATTGGGCCACATACTAGGAATTCAATGTATATTTACCATTAAATGAAGAACAAGTGATTATAACTTTCACATGACATTTCTCTGCCTTTCAGGGTCACTACCAAATTTTCTTAGTGTGTTAACTCCAATGGAAATTTTGTTGAAAGACAAAAAGTCCATTAATGGCACTTCAAACTGCATTATGTTAAAAACAAATAGTTGTAGTTTGGTGGTGTTTTTTTTTTTAATTGGTGCTGTATCTATTTCATTTGGGTGAAATTTCATAGTTTACAAAACACATTTTCAGATTTCATCTCACATGTCAGTCAAGCAAGTTAGGCAGGGCATACATTTAGATCTTCATTTTGTCACTGACAAACCCAGATCCAGTTTGATGAACTGACTTGCCCAGGGGATGAGCCAATGCCCTCTAACCCAAAGCCGGCAGAATTGGTCCAACCCCAGTTTGGCACTCACGTTGTCTACTAGGAGCACGAGGCTAGGAATCAGCCGATCTGTGGTGAGCACGGACTATGCAGTAGCAGAGACCTAGCAACTGAAGGTGGGTCTGAGGGGGTCTGGTGCCTAATTGACCCAGCACCCTTCCTTCCTTTCTGTAGGAACCCAAGAGGCAAGAGTAAAGCAAATCACCATAAACAAAGTGTAATGTCTACTGGGCACACCTCAGTAGAACTGGCGTTAAGCATGTGGCATGGGACAGTTGCAGGCCTCGAAATCCCCCAACCTAGTTGCCATAGTTAATTCTCACCAACTTCATACAAACTGAGACATACCTGGGATGAAGGAACCTCAATTGAGGAATGGCCTCCATCAGCCTAGTCTCTGAGCATGTCATGGGGGCATTTTCTTGATTGTGAACTGACCTCGGAGGGGCCAGCTCTCTGTAGCCAATGTGATTCCTGGATATGTGGTCCTGGAATATGTAAAAAAGGTAGCTCAACACGCTAGAGGGAGCGGGCCAGTAAAGAGCATTGTGGGTTCTGCTTTGGCTTCTGCTTCCAAGTTCCTGCCTTGAGTTCCTACCTTGGCTTTCCTTGATGATGGCCTATACCCTGCAAGCTGATATAAACCCTTTCCTCCCCATGTTGTATTGGGTCACGGTGTTTCTCACAGTGACAGAAAGCAAGCTAGGACCCTAGCCATGATGTTCTGAAGTTAGAGAAGACAAAGAAAAGGATTCCAGAGCTAAGACACCTACCTGCCTTTGGGGGGTGCTGCAAGGGCATCTCAAGGTCAACCGAGGGAAGAAGGCCCTCTCCCGGAATGGGCAGCCTCTTCTGGCAGGCAGCCCAGAGATGAGGTGGTCTGAGGAAATCTCAAGCTGGCTTCCTTGCCTCACGTTTCTCTCCTTGGTGTGCCAGCCTCCACTGCTGCCATCAGAATCCAGCTTCTTTGGTTTCCAGTGTGTCCTGAAGGCTGATAACAACCAGATTGAGACTGTTGAGGCAACAGCTTCAAGGCCTGAGCAGCTGCTGGTTTCAGCCTCTTTAGCATTCAGACAGCCATAGTTGGACCTGTGGGTTAGAAGCCATTCTGGAAATCTGTGCGTGCGTGCGTGCGTGCGTGCCTGTCTGTCTGTCTACCTGTCTGTCTGTCTGTGTTTAGAAGCCATTCAGGAAATCTGTATGTGTCTGTGTGTGTGTGTGTGTGTGTGTGTGTGTGTGTGTCTGTGTGTGTGTGTGTGTGTCTGTATGTCTGTGCGTATCTGTGTCTGTGTGTGTATGTGTATATCTCTCTTTGTGTATGCATTCTATCTGTTCTGTTCTTCTAGACAATCCAAAATTAGCCATGGCTCCACGATCTCATGATTTCATATGAAAGCAGAGTCATGCTCACAGGAAAATGCTCTTAGGCTTTGAGATTCCTCTACATTATATTCATCTATTGGTTTGATACTTGCTGGGCACCAGAGCCTTGGGAGCAAGCCTTGTGCTGTTATACAATGAACAAGCAAGAAACTCTGCGTTCGCCATTTACACAGCAGTCAGGGGTGGCTTCCGGTACTGAGCCCTTTCTATGTGCCTGGATGCCTGTAGGAAAAATCCGAGAAGCAAGCTTTTTTGAGAAGGAAACACCGAAGCACGCATCCCAGTTGGGTGAGCTTTAGCTCCTCCACGTTAACAGCTGCCTGTCCGCACAGCAGAGTGAGGCAGCCCCTCTGAAGCCTGGGCGGTTTCTGCTTCTCTGCCTTGTCACTTGTGTCCTGCCCTGACACTTTTGATGGAGTGACAGGGATGAGGAGATGACTAGAACCAAATTTAGGTGAATGGTGCAGGGCTGTGAAGACACTCCCAGCCTAAGGTGAGTCAGCCAGTAGCCCCGAGGCCTGAGGATTTCTTCCGGGCTTATCAGATGGTTGAAAGACATGATCTGACTCCTCGGGAACTTCTATTTGACAAGCATTTTCCTCTTATTCGTTGAGCTGATCAGAAGGGGCTGCAAGGCTGAGCTAGGCATAAAAGGAAATAACAACAGTAGTGAGGTGGCTTGGATAAATGTGCCTTACAGAACTCTTCTAGAGGGTGACTCTAGAAGAAATATTTTTTTCTTTTAACTGGCGTTGTAAGTTAGAGCTTTCTAATTTAGACCCGAACAAGCAAGAGCTCCCAGGTCTAAAAATATCATTCATGTCGTTGATGGGCAGGTGACATTTCTGGAGGTCGGATGGCTTTGTTTAGCTCACCTAGCAGAAGAAAACTGGAATTGGAGCCAGATCAACGGGCTCTCCTGGGGCCTTGTCTCCACAGAAGTCTGGCCACTCCTCCAGCTGTGAAATCCATGAGGCCAGCAGCTTGCTGTAGACCTCCTTCTCTCTCGTGGTCTGGGTGGGGTGTTGCGTCATTTGACACAAAGGGTTCCTTCTGCAGCCGTCCCCTCCGAGGACCACCCAGGACAAAGTTGGTTTCAGCCACAGCTGGACAAATTTGGGTCAGATCTGGAGAAGCATTTCCTGGCGGCGTGGCTACACAATGGGATGAGTTCCTGAGTAAAGAAGTCATTTTCTTCCTTAGAAAGATCTGAAAGTCTAAGCAACTTCCCCCCATCTGGATGTAGCAGAAGCATGAACTCTATATCCTGTTCTATTCCCCTTACACCGGAGAAGGCCATGGAGCCCAGAGGGCACAAGACAATGCAATCCCCAAAAGAAGAGATGGGAGAGGCAATGGGGCTGTAAACACTTCCATGCCCCTGTTCTACGTGCAGCTCCGCTGAGATAGTAGGACAGGGGAGATGATTAATGAAGAATCCTTGTCTGCATGGGCATTTTATTCTAGCAGGAAGAGGTGAGTCTCTAAACGAGGAAAATAGAGAGAAAGTCAGAGTTGTGTTAGCTGGGGAAACTCAAGAAGTCTCTCTGATGAGATGGTTTCTGTGCTGAGACCTAGGGATAGAAGGCAGCATCCCAGAAGACAAATGGGAAAGAGCGAAGGCGTAAGAGACGCCAGCACGGGTGCAGAAGACGAGCCCCGCGTCGCTGTGAATTCTCCTCCCTAGCTGACTGGAACCCTCTGAAGTCCAGTCTCTCCTCGCTTGTATTATGGCAGTCTCGGATATCGCAACTTTAACTTGTGAAGGGAAACTGAGGAAAACGATTCTATGTCCGACACTTTACTAACTCATGAACGTTCCCCATTACAGTATTTATGGACACTTTATTTGTGAGAAGACATTGAATAGAATCCCTGTGCAATGGGAACCTGGGGTGGGATGGGTATTGAATTGGGAGTCCTTCTGCGGTTTCTGACAAGCACCAGAAGACATTTCCCCCCCTGTGGATTCACCTCTAAACTGAGACTTCTTAGAGGACAAATATACTAATTTTCACCTCTGTGACAAAAATACCCAGGAGACACATTTGAGGAAGGAGCATTTGCTCTACTTACGGTTCCAAAGGACCCAGTCCATCATGGCAGGGAAGACGCTGGCCAGATACTCGGCTTACATCATGGTGGACCAGCCAGTACAGAAGAGACTGCTAGCAGTTGCAGGGTTTGAGACAGAGGCAAAGTGTGGCGTGTTCTGGCAAGGAATTTGTCTTCATTTGCTCTCTGTCCCCAGACTTCATAGAAGACTACGGCTCTAGATATCAGACTAATGAACTTGGCAGGGGGAGTTTCATGACGGTACAGCATACAGGCTTCGTTGTGCTTACAGTTGGCTGCTTTTAGCTAAATTTATTGTGTGAATGGGGAGTGTGTAGATAGGATTCGCCTCTGCTTCTTAGATCATTATGATGTGAAGGGAGGTGCTCCACCATGGCTTCCCTGCCGTCATGAACTGAACCCTCTGAATCTGTGAACTGAAATCAGTCTTTAACTCTTTCTGAAGGTACTCAGAAAGAGTAACTAATAGAGCAGAAGACAAAAACCAAGAATGATGCCACATCATCCCCCTCTCCTCCCTCCCTCTCCCTCTCTCTCCCTCCCTCCCCCCCCTCTCTCTCTCTGTGTGTGTGTGTGTGTGTGTGTGTGTGTGTGTGTGTATGTGTGTGTTTGAGACAAGGTACTATGCTTCCTTGGCCAGCCTAGAACTCCCAGAGGTCTGCCTACCTCTGCCTCCCAAATGATAGTATTAAAGTCATGTCTGGCTTATGTTTAAGCTTTAACATAAGAAAATTTCTCTCTTCTGAAGGCCATTATGAGTCTAACCTAAGTGAGAGGCTGAGAAATGTATAAAAATGAGGGAAGGAGAGAGAGACATAGAGAATGTGTCTGTGAAATGTTGATCAAATGTCCAATCAAAATCTAATACACCAGTCTGTATCATGCACAAATCTACGATCAGCACAGCCTAACATCTGTCTGCCTGTATCCTAAACCCATCAGGGGAATGGACTGACGCTTTCCCTGAGGCACTTGTAACACTCTGTTTTCCCTTCACCCAGACATGACTGCGACAGCTTTAAGAATATCATTCAGTAGGAAGAATCGTAGAAATATGAAATTGAAAATTTGACCATATGTTCCAGTGTTTGCGAGACATAAATAATAAATAATGAGCACTCACTTCTTTGTCTTTGTGCACACAAGGATGTGCTCCCGTGAATGATGGGCATTGTCTAACGTTTCCTTTGAAAGAACACTCCTCCCCTTCCCAGGCAATTAGAAGCTACAATTCATGCTGACTGTTGCTTTATTCCTGGGGTCTGCATTCTTTTTAACCTCACTAAAGAGTTCATATTCAACTTGGGATACAAATGGTCCGGTTTCATTTGATCTCAGTATTGAATGTCTTCATGAGAGCTTGCATGCTGTCATAGATGAGGGGATTATATGCCAAGGCGTAACTATGAACTCAATTGAGGAGTAAGCTCTTTGGGAAAACGCTGCTGCATGGGGAGACAATCTAATGAACTGCTATACTCTATGCATTGGTGCTCCACCAGTGCTGGGACCAAGGGCTTTCACCTATGACTTGTGTGTCCCTGCAATGGTGCTAGAACATTGTGTCGATGGTTCAAGATGGCTGTTCAGTATTTCAGGGAACAGAGCTGTTCTCCATCACATGCCACACACTGAACTTGGACTGTGCCAAATGACCTGGAACCTTGACAGTGGTATTCTTGCTACTTAGCTGGTGAACAAATGGAGTGGATGAGGTGAACAGCTTTGCTTTGGTTTCATGCACAGCACAATCTGACACGCCAATTCCTGCTCTGTGTTCCATTTTCCATGAAGGTATGCATGTCAGTGCTTGTCTCCTAGAGTATTTTCAACAAAGCATGTTTCAGTTAAAGACATAATGATGATATTAGTTTAATAGATATGATTGGACAGATACTTGCTAAGGCAAAGGCAGTGTGATCCTTTTCAGAAAAGGATGAAAGGATGAAACCCTTTCTGATGTTCTTCAACATAAGTGCCTCTTTACTGTAAAGTTCCATATATATGTGTGTGTGTGTGTGTGTGTGTGTATTTATTATGTATATATACACACATAATATGTATATATGTATATATGACAACATAACTTTTTTTCTTCTATTTTTTTTCTTTTTAGCAAATTCTGCTCTGGCCTTTCTCAATTTGTTCTGGTAAAGGTCATCACTCTGAAGTCTTTCTTGCAAAACCCTTCCAGTGACACACCTCAGCTCCTGTCACGTTGTATTACATAAATCTTCATCAAAGCAGGCGGAGTGCTCACCTATCTCAACCATGAGTCTGTTTGGAGGAGCAGGAATGAGATCAGTCCTCAGAACCGAGGGCCAGCAGGGGACATCAGAGACAGCAGGAAGGTGGAGAGCTATAGAGCAACTGAGCTTAGGAGCTGAGAGTGAGTTCTTTGTGCTGATCAAGTTCCAAGAGCTGCAGAAAGATGCTTTCTCATGATCAGTTTGTGGTCAGTGAGGTCAAGAACCTGTGGCTCGATAGGTCATAGGCCCCAGGGTAGAATCTAATACTATTATTATGCTAAGTAGAGATAATATTATAGTGACCCCTGGACTTGTCAACCCTCTTGAGAGAAGCTGCTCTTTGTAGTAGATGGCAGTTGACAGAGAGACCGAAGCTGTTCAAGTGCAGAAAATAAGAAACTGTAGAGTGTTCAGTCCTCGATGGGACCATATGTGCTTGAGATTCTTCACGGTGAGGGGATAGAAATATTGTCAGAGTTAGAGGTGGTGGATCGCTTCCAGGAAACACAGTTTTCTGGGCGGAGCAATTATACAAATGATCTCAGGTCATTTTGACAGCATGAATAAGACCTGTACAAAGCCAAGCCAGACAAAAATGCCAGCATGGAAGAGGGCAGGTGGGCACCCAAGTCACACCACTAGGTTCTGAGAGAGAGAGAGAGAGAGAGAGAGAGAGAGAGAGAGAGAATTGTTTAGCAATATATGACCCCCCCCTGGTTAGTTGACCATATCACAGAACAAGCTCTTCTCCCAAGAGTAACTGGAAAAAAACAATCTGGACTCAGTGGGTTTAAGAG